GATTCAACTAGTTCATGGTTGCGAACAAGTTCAGCAGTAAATCTGAAAAGACCCAAAAGGTAGACGAAAAAAGAAGGCGAAGTTCATGCTAGTTTAAGCATCAGAAGTTTTCAATTGCGACTCGCCTTACAGAGCTTTTCTAGGGCTACAAAACAGCGTATTCAGCCCGTCTATATCCAGTCAAATAGTGACGTAATATTCACAAAACGCAACAGTCAGTTTGAAAATGTGCTTTTTCGGGAGCATGGCAGTGTTGACTGCATAGAATTTCACGGTTATATTTTACAGGAACTTTTTCATATAATTTTGTAGAGAATTGAATGGGTCTCAACTATCAAAACTGACAGAGAAAAGTGCAAAATACAAGTAGTGGCATTCTTTATGGAACACCCGTTAAGTAACTCGAGAACTATTTTAATAGTTCTTCTTTTTACTTCAATTTATAAAACAAAGCAACAGGGCCTTATCGAACATTTTTGAATAATCAAGAAAAACAGCAAGAATAAAATTACTCACAGGATCTTTTTTTCTCTATTTATAGCGTTATAACTCTATAAAACATGCTTTTTCTTAAATTATAGTATTATAACGCTATAGATTTATCTCATTACAACGCAATAGACGTAGTCCGTCGTATTATAACGCGTTGCAAAGTTATTTTTCAGGAATTTATGGCGTTGTAAGTTTTCATTGCATTACTACTACTAACTCTATAAATTTATAGCATTATAATGCGTTTCAATTTTTTATCTCGTTACAATGCAATTAGATTTGTCTACCGCCTTATAATACGTTAGATTCTAATGTATTATAACGCGTTTGAGCTTTCTACTTCAATATAATGCGTTATAATACCTTAGATGTTTTATATAATTGTAAAGCCATAAATTTGGAAAAATCTTTTATAGCGTTATAACCCGTTAAATAATGCATATCGTATTGTGACGAGTTAATATCTGTTAGATTACAATGCATTATTCTTTTCTATCTTATTGCAATGAGATAAGAAAATGGAACTCGATATAACACGATAGGTATTAATGCATTACAACGAGATAGACAATATTCAAAACAAACACGTTTTCTCGTAAAGGACACATTTGCATAAAATTCTTAGACTGCCAATTGATTCCTCTAGAAAGTTGGTCCGGGAAAAATTACTTCAACTATATTAGACATATACGTTACTGACTTGAGCCTTAGGACATAAACTCCCACAGCACACTTATTACCACTGTCACGTATAGCGTTACAGCGCCTGAACAGTTAATGCATTGTAATGCCATAAATTTATGTCGTTGAAACGTGTGAAGAATTTCTATAGCCTTACAATGAGTTAGAACATGCATAACGCGTTGCAATGTGTTATAATGCGATAGAAATTTAGTAACGGCTTGTAACTATTAGCGCGTTAGTCGAATTTATACCGTTGTAACATTATAAAAATATGAGAAAGTCGTTGACAAAAATGCATTATAACACTATAATTTCAATTTTTTAGCATATAACGCGTTATGCTAATGCGTTACAATGCATTAAAGACATGTTTTTTCTAAATTTATCGCTGTATAACACAATAGAAAAGCTAACACATTACAAGGCATTCCGATATGCCTAACGCATTATAATGCAATAAATACGAAAAAAAGATCGAAAAAGACCTGTGGGTACCATTATCTAAATTTCCACTAATCTTATGCACAGTATACTAACTGATCCACTATAGAATCTCCTTGACATTAATCCAGACTGAAGAAAAGTTAAAAATTTATTTTTCTTGGCATGCTCATAAAGTTTATTAAATACTAATCTCCCAAGTACTTTTGACATTGCGGGCAACAAAACTAATGGGTCTGTAATTCGTAGCAAGTGTATTATCACCATCATTAAAAGCGGATGTATAGTTTCCACTTGTCAGGAAAAACATCATTTGACAGAGAAAAATTACATATGTACATAACACCATTAGATATCACTGACAAAAGCGCACTACCAATTTTTGGCATTATCGCTGTGAAAAACATGATCTTAAACTGACTGTTTTCGATGTTTAATAAACGCTGAAAGATCAGACGGCTTTCGTAGTATAAAAGACGGTCACCACCTTCCCTCTCTCTGCCTTTTTGCTCAATTTTATATCCATTCAGAGAACTATCTTCATTTGGAATAGTTGAATCAAAGCCACGTTTCGGTGATAGCGATGAAAGAAGATTGGATTGATTGTACAACACCCTTAAAAAGCCAAATTTTATTACAGTTCGTCATGACCTTTCGTTTTCAAAGATTTTTAACCTTGAAGAAGTGAAAAAACGAGTTTATTTAATTTCAATGTCTGAATCACGAACTGACAAAAACTGTTGAATTATTGAACCATAGATTTTTCTCCCAAGTTAAGCGACTCCGAGTCCTCCAACGCTATTTTTCACAGAGATGTAAGGATTGCTAAAAAGATATTTACTGATTATGAAGTTTTGTGATCAAGTTTGATCTAATACTCATTATACATGAACTGACAACAGCAAACCTTTGCATGCTTATGCTGACATCTTTACTACAGATAGAGATCTATATCTCTGGATTTTTCCTGATTTGTGAGTTTATGAATTTTTATGAATTTTAGATGTTTTCCTCATAAGTTTCAACTTGGTTTTTTAAATGGATATTTGAAAAATTCATGGGACTCTCGTATTCTCTCTCTCAAGAGAAGGAAGGACTGGAAAACTGTAAATTGAGAGACATTCGACCAGAATTGAGTATATTGAGGTTTACTCACATGCCAACAACATAGCATAAACATAAACATAAGTTATGTTGTTCGCCACGTACTTCAGAGGTGCTGTGTTCGAACCTCGGCGCTAGCAAAGTCATGTAATAACCCTGAAGAAGTTACTTATGTCTTAGTGCCTCAGCTCATCCGTCTAACATTGTATCATGTCATACTCATTACGCTGTGACGTACAATACAGCTGCTCCAGCTAGTACGTGGTTAGTGAAGTGCGTAGTGGGCGAAAGAACTCTGCATTAAGCTAGCGTTCTGGCCAGAGCTGCAATTGATGCTAAGTAACGAGATGGGTGACCATTTCAGAAGCTTGTCAACTGCAGGGAAGATATCGGCTGTTGAAACTGCCATGGCAGCACCCTTCATTGGTAACGGGCTACCGTTACGCGGAGTATTCTTCTGTCTTTCACATACCAACGTTCATTAGAGTATTAAAACCATTTCATCTCTCTTAATACTTCCTTGAAGACCAAATTATTGTACGGCACTTTTCCTTAATTGCATTTATTGTGATAATATATCAGAATGAACCGAGACAATCTCATCTTGAGCCAAAATAATATTGTGACTTTTCTCATTTCCAGACTGGGGTGAACTGAATTTTTCTGAAGCCATGATATATGATGTATACTAGGGATAACAGATTCATATTCTTTCTATAATATTTTGTTTCATGTTACAATTTGGGCTTTTCTGATATGTATTTTATCACTAGTACAAAACATAATTTTAGATCATGTTCGACTTGCTAGATAGAGAGTACGATATTTGGGTTCTAAAGACATGTTTTCTAATGAGAGCGTTTGTCTATGAAATGAAAATATTAAAAAATTGATCACTTTTTTCGATATCATCACAGTATACTATTTACTTTGGAAAGAATATGTCAATCAAGTGTTTTAGATCAAAAAGAAATGGGAGAAAAGTGCATCTTCAAAGCAGAATAATGGCCCTGAAACTATACAATACATTGTGTATGCATAAATTATAGTCATTGATCATCATTGGTAAATTAGCTCCAGATGAAAACACTGGATGTATTAACGGCAATTATCGTCTATATATGGTGGATAAAAAATACCATAAATGTTTTAGACGTATATCATGTAATTGATCATTTCACAACAATGTTAATTTTGCAAAAAGAACTGAAAAATATGATCTCTCTAATTCATTCAAACAGATGAGTCTCCAAAAAGTGAATTCAATTGTACAAAATTGAAATTATGTAAATCATGAGAGAAAAGTAGTCTAAGAATCTTTTTTTTTCTTCAAAATACAGCAATTTTTCACTTTAGTTTTCTGTCATACGATATATGAAAATTATCATCTATGCAGAAAATTTTTTTACTCATTTGGTATGTAGTGATGACATCATTCACGGATATCGGACTAGAGATATTTTTTTTCACAAATATTTTTTGAAATATAAATAAACGAACGGAATTGTTTTATATATTATATCCCTTTATCAAAGACTGTGGTATCGTTTTTGTAAAAAGTACGGACGGACATAGATAAGAGCTTGTGAACTGTATCATAATTAATTGACAATAAAAAAAAAAAAGAATGAGAACAATTTGAATCGAGTCGTACTAACGACAAAACATCATCAATTAAAACCCTATTATCAGCAGATAATAGATAGCTATGTATCTATTCATCTAGTCTATTTCTTTTTTTCTTTCTTTCTTTTTATCTCTAGCAGAAAAGAAAAAGAGAGAGAGATACACATGTCATGTACATTCCGATCCATTTCAATCAAATATAATTAACCATTTTTAGTGTGAACAGAGGTAAGTTCTATTTAAAATTTGATTTATAAATACTTAATAGAAATTTCTAACTCGATTTTAGATTGTAATAACTATAATTTATTAGTTTTCTTTACCAAACTCTTTTTAATGTCTTTCAATATGTAGACACTTGAGATGAACGAGACACTAATCTTATAATCGGATCGCTTGGCAAAGTTAACCGCAGTAGCCAGGATTTTTGGATTGGGGAGATCAAATTTCATTTTATCGATTTAAAATCGGAAAAATAGTCCTATGGAAAATCGTCGATTTGGGGGGATCGATTCCCACAATCCCCCCTGGCTACGTCACTGGTTAACCGAGACTGAACAAAGGGGATATTGAGAGTTTTTTTAGTGAAAAAATGCACAAAAAAATTAACTAAAGTAGATTGAGTTACAAGATCTTAAAAAGATTAGGACAAAATGGAGATATCACCTTGGTAAGATAGAGAAAATTTAAAGTATTTGTCATTGCCTATCAAACTTGAAAAAGAAATTATTTACTTTTGTAAGTGCGGAAAATAACCGCCCATTTAATCAATGAACAATTTTTCTCAACTTTTATTCTATCAACTCAAGATAGAGTTGATATTTGCATATTTGAAGTGTTTCATAACATGCGCTATGAATAAACCATATTGATCTTTTTTTTCTTAAATTTTCGACTTGTTCTCTATCTCGAATGATCAACCGAAAAGTGTAGGATGGTTGGTTGTTATGCGTATCCTAGTTCGTTTGCTCTTTAAATAATAAAATAAAAAGTGTTTTTTTTTATAGTAATATTTTTTGTTCGATACACATATGAGTCTCAAAGTTTAAAATTCGACAATTATCAGTCAAGAACGCTGATACATAACAAAATCTGATATATGTCTTTTATAATTACTTATCAATCACCTTATCAGTCAATTAAACTCGTGTTAAGATAAAAAAGACAACATATATATATATATATATAGTTTATTTATTTATTTGTTTTAATTTTCTTTTTTCTCACTTGTTACAGAATGCAAAGAAAAACCCTTGCAACGTATCAACTATATATACTTTATAGATGAAAAAGCTATTTCTTATCGTTTCTTGAAGAAGAAGATGCGTCGTTATATATCTTTCAAGTTTTCTGACATATTCCATTATACCCATGCTGATTTTGTACACAAAAAAATGAGTGAGAACAAATGCGTCTTTTATCATCAGTCTTGTTCATCTCTCTATCTCTCTCTCTCTCTCTAATACACCTTAAGGTCAATTATTCTGTTCGTTTAATTCATTATACTACCTATTAGAGGAAATAGAACAATAGGTCAGTAGCTATTATCTATCGCACAAGGGAAAGAAATTTGAATGCCTTCTTCCGATTAAAAAGACGCGATAAAATGGCAACATGCTGATGTATACATTAAATATCTTTACCTGTCTTAAAAAGTTTTAATTACACTTAACAAAAATATACAACCAAAAGCTATTTTAGATAGAGGCAGAAGTAATACTTTATCGAACATATTTTTTTTTTTCATGTATGTATAAGAACTATACTCTATGAAATGCACCTGCGAAAAATGTTACTGATATAGTTTTTCATCATCGGAAGACATTCTTATTCATTAAAAAAAACAACCCTACAGACTACAATAATCTGCCAATAAATAGCGATTTACACGCAAATTTTCTTCTACTCTAGTCCTATAAGTTTAATTGACCTAGGACATAATTGTTGGTATTAGTGTATTTTGTTTTTCAAAACAATTAATTGTTCGTCGATTTTCTATTAAAATTTCAAATTTAATATTATCGCTTCTATCTCGAATATATTATGAACGAGGTAAGAATAATTCCCATAAAAAATATTTAGAGGAATAAACTGTACATATTCATCATGTTTTCGACTGTTTTTTCATATTTAAAGTGAATTTCATGAAGTACGAGTTTTGTGCAAAATCAATTGTTCTATGCAAAATTTTTCGCTTTTTTCCTCATAGATATTAGTCTATTTACTCCTCCCTGTATTTAAATTGTTACAATTATTTTTCTATTTCGTTAATATAAAGTAAAGTAGATACACTAACTACAGTCGTTTATATTCTTTTACAACTGATGACAACACTTAAAGAAACAATAATAGTAATGAACGATGAGGACTATCATAAAAACTATCAAGAGGTTAAACGTAAGTAGTAGATTGACGAATCACCGATATAAAGGATCATCATTTTTATCTGTCTATCTACCGTATGACAGAAACGAAAAAGAAGAAATAATTTACTCACTGACTATATAGAAATAGGAAGAAAAATAAGCGGAACTATTTAATGTACTAATTGCTGCTTGAGTAACAACTCTTTCGTATTTCCTGCGAAGATTGATTATAGAAAAAAACTTAGAGGAATTCTAATAAAAAAAAAAAAGAAGAAGAAAAAACGTTTTATAGGATTACCTGCTTAACTGAAGGAGAGATAGTAGTTTGAATAAAAGTAAGAAAAAGATCTTTATTTTATGAAAGAAATAAAAATAGAGAGCGAGATAGAGCATACATAACTATTATTAGATACAATATTAAACGATAAGATAATTTATTAATAGATTGCGTCATTTTTATACATAATAGAAAGTGTCTTTAAAACCAAATAGGTAAGTCATTTACAAAAACGTTAGATATATAAAATCCCCAAATGTGTAGAATGTTCACCAGAATGAAATAATAAATGTTTTGTCTTTTATCATAGTATTTACTTTGGTTTTTGTTTTCGTTAAAACTGAAAGAAAGACTTCTTTTTATTTTTTATTTTTACTATACTTTGTTTTTTAAATTGAACTAAAGTAGTTGACTGTTTTTATCGTATGCAACATAATTCGTGATATTCTTCAAGTTTAAGATATGACGTATTATTTCCTGACATATATAGTATTATTGTCATACGAACAACATGTTGCACATGCAATTTATATCATCACTATTATAAAAGTAAACTTGTATGTAATCAGGATGTAGAGGGAAGTTCGAAAGAAGCCAACCGTTTTTCATCATACTAAGAAAAAGAAAATTCTAATGAAAATCATCTATCTTTGAATTCATTCAACTCTGAACTGCTGTTATCATCATCATTGGATATGTCCGTTATATTAATCGTGTACGTGTACATAATAACGTTTCAGATTTTTTTTTCTTTTTTATCTACATTTGAAGAATTATCTACATTTGCTATCAATTATCATTAGAATAAATTTCCCTTTTTCTTCTCTTTCAAATAGTAATTTAAATATCGGTGATTTTGTTCTTGAGTGCTTATTACTAATCAATTAGTAACGATTAGACTCACTTATTTTTCCGTTTTGTCATACCTTCAAATGTATTTATCCATAGTTACACGAAAAATTATCTTTCGTCTACCTGATTATTTATCTAAACGTATAAATTTAAGCAGGAAGCAAAGTTAAATGAAGAGTATATTTAAGTATATATATACATATAACCAAGAAGAAGGAGATAGTTAATTACTAAGAGAAAAAAAATCAGTTAACAAGAATGAATGTTAAAATTGTCGTTTGTTTGTGATGGAAACCTAGGACAGATTATTTAATTGTAGCCAAAGGCATTTTTTATTTTTTTAGGCAGGATATTGTTTTTGCACTTGTTCTACACATGCAGATGACAATTTAGCAATGATGAGTTTACAAGTTAATCTACCACTTCATTGTAATATCAATACGGATTGAACTTTCTAAATGCTAATTATTTTTCTTATTCAAATAGTACAGAGATATCTTCTCTACAACTCAACAGCTTATTGTTCATCCTACATGTCATAAATCCCTCTTCTTTAACGGATTTTCGATTATGTTGTTATTAACTTATATTTGTTTGTCATACAGTAAGCGATAATTTTAGAAGAACGAGAGATTATCTTTATTCATTGATTTGTAGTTTAACAATAACAACGAAGGAAAAAAAAGAAACAGAACAGAAAGTGAATGGTTCTCAATTCATTTATCTTTCGTCCAATCAATAAACTAACCGTCTATACTATATTTGATTTGTTCATCATGTATGACGTAGTGGAGAGGAGTGAAAGAGTTAAGTAGCAACTTATTCAATGTTAGTTAAGTATTAACTTTTAAACTAATATATTTGATTTGACAAGATTTATCACGTCAAATCAGAGGATGGACAATTCCAACTTCGGAGTTGACCTTCGTTTTAGTGAAGTTGGAGTTGCATTTTTATTAGATTAGAGTTGAGTTGAATTCAGATTTTTTCAACTCTAGTTAACATTATTAAAATGCAATTTTGAATTGTTAATTAAACTGACCTTTTGTGTGTACTTTTGTAAACAAAAGCGAAATAAACAACTGTTAATAAACTAAAGAAGAAAATAAATGAAGACAAAATAAATTTCTGTCCAAGTTGAAGTTGAACTTAACCGGCGTTGCACATCTCTGCATCAAATCATTGGCATAAGTTTCAAAAACTGTAAGAATTTCAAAACTAACGTATATACTTTTTTTCTAAAGCTATTTTTCTTGTATAAAATGTGCGTGTTTAATAGTCTTTCTTATAATTTATGTCATTTTGACCTGAGTTGATTATTCTATAAATGAGATGCACATTTAGTATATTTTCTAATGCTTAAAAGGATCTTTATTGAGGTGTAACATTCATTCATCTAGTTAAATAAAAAAGGAAAACGTCATCTAAATAATGAATGAAGTATAGTCAGTCTATTAAGTTAAACGATGAGACAATTTATTATGAATAACTTTATCTATATTAAAAGAACAAAAATTATAAAATTAGAATAGTTTATCCAAGCAGAATGTTTATTGGATCTAAAAATATTTTCTTTTTCTCTTCTTATTAGAACATGGGAAGCTTGAGGGAAAATAAGGAAAAAAAAAATAAGGAAAAAATATAAAAAAAAAGGAAAAAAGTCTCTATATATTCTCGTGGTATGGAAGATAAACGGACAAAACTCTAAAGATAGACGGGATTTATCATTTATCTATACTAGTGTATTTGTACATTTTAGTAATTTGTTAATAGTTTATACGAGAACGATGTCTGATTAAAGACATTTTACAATTAAATTGTTGAGAAGAAAAACATCAACAACTAGAGTATCATTTTTATAGACAGAAATTAAAAGATTGTAAAGAAAAAAGAGAAAAAAAATGAATAGATAAAATGAAATCTTTTGTGCTTTTGGAAACAACAAATTGGTCGTTCAACTGAATAAAATTATAACATATTTGGTACGTTTATATTAGACTTAACCGTCTATTGTTCATTTATGTTATTTAATCATTTCAATAAACAATCGTTAAAAATGTATAGTTAATCTATACTATTTTCCATTTTTCACCTTATAACTTTGAAAATTTTTACTATAAACAACCTATTATCTATCTCTTATATTGTATTCAATTTTAAATTTTAGTTTGTTTAATATGATGTCGATTACATCTGATTATTTTCAACATTATTTACAGCCGACAAACACATGGCCATTACCATTTTCAACTTCTCCATCCTCAAATTCACTTATTTGCAATAATCATACACGAAATAAATTTCGAACAAATTTATCAGCTAAAATAACACGTTTTTATATTGATGATATATTAGGTATCTCAAATGCTCAAAATACAACAGCTCTTATAAATAACAGTAATAAATGTGAAGATAATGATATTTGTCATTGTTCAACAAAACGTCAAAAAGGTACGTACAAGTTACAATTGCTAAATATAAAATTGTATAAAACAAAATGAATTAAGAATATTCAGAAAATTTTTAGCATTTTTTCAAATCATTCACATGTTATAAAAGAAAAAGCATAATTTTTTTTTTTTAAAATGTAAGGTAGGATCTGAAGTATCTGTAATAAAAATTTAGGCTTAATCGGATTCTTTTTTTGACAAGTTGTAAGGCAGGTGAATGAGAATCGAAGTCTACAGAAAACTCATAATTACAAAAAAAATCCTATATAGATCATTGACTAATTTATTTTTAGATCGATGTTATTCAGAGTCGAATAGTGATGGTGATGAACCGCCTAAAAAACGAAAAAAAGCTCGTACAACCTTTACAGGAAAACAAATATTTGAACTTGAAAAAAAATTTGAAGATAAAAAATATCTTTCATCAACAGAACGATCTGAAATGGCGACACTTTTAATGGTTACAGAAACACAGGTAAATTTTTTTTTAAACGTTTTTGATTGATTCTATTTAAGGTCTTTAATTTTTTTTTTTCTTTCTATTTAGGTTAAAATTTGGTTTCAAAATCGTCGAACAAAGTGGAAAAAACAAGAAAATATTTCAAATGCTGAAGCAGGTAAATAAATAAATTTTATTTTTAATATTTATATTTGACATTTATTTATTATATATTTTCTAGCCGAACATAAATTAGGTACACGAAAAACGTCCACATCTACATCATCATCATTAGATATCAATCGTATATCATGTTTTTCAAAATCAAATAGAATAAATGGCATAAACAATACTCGTCGTAGTAGTACTAGCACAAATAGTACAACATCAAATATTTCAAATATTGATTCAGAAAATAATAATATACCAAATTTTTCTTATCAACAAACATCAATTGATCAATATCCTTCTTTTTCAACTGAAAAACAACGATCTCAACGTCCACGATCATTATCATTATCATCATCGAACGAGAGTCATCAAGTACAATCAACATTGTCACCATCATTAACAACAACAACAACATGGGAGACTCCATCGAAAAAAAATCAAACGAATGATTATTCTCGATCACCCGACTTAAAACACAGTATAGTAAAATCATCAAATAATGATTGTACAACACTAAAAACTGATTTTGTATTAATTGTCGATTCTATAGACAAAACATCGGTGTAACTTTTTTTATGTCTAGTCATATTTTCAAATTATATGTATGTAGATTTTTTTTTCTAAAATAATTCATATTTTCTATAATAAATTCATCAATATTCAGTATTCAAAACAAATATTTGCAATAAGTCGTAGTTATTCCAATTATAGTATTAGACATAGGTAAAAATTCGTACATGGTAAACTAAAAATGAATTCTAATTTATAGAAAGTCGACATAAAAACTTTTTTGAGTAATTTTAAACAGTTTTGATAATATTCACAATTTTATGATATTCTGCAAAATCAATATTTTTGAAAAAATATAGAAAATTGAAAATGGACATTATTTTTGTAAATTGGAAAAATCAAATAAATTTCCAAAAGATAGACTTTTGGTTTTTCAGCAAAATCATTAAGATGAATCATCTACTTGCAACTAAGCATCTGTATATAAAGCCTAACACTGTTTAATCATATACATATATAAACTCGAATCGTTCAAGTGCTTATCGATAGAGTAATAATGAAAAATGAAGTCCAGATAGATAATGAAGATTCCTCTACAGCACAAAGCAAACATGCTAAAAATCATCACAGTTGAAGCTTAAATGAAGCTACATATCAGCGTAACAACAGCAATTTTAATAAGCATTGTAAACCCAAGAAATTCAATGAAGCAAACCCGTAATGCACCATATTCTTCACACTCGTCACATAGTCAACAGCTAAATCAGTCAAAGTAATGCTCAACAAAATTTACAGCCTCAAAATTTATCTATAGTAATTATGAACGTGTTGAAATATGCAACAGTACATGATTTATCACCATTTATTTTAAAATTTGAAGAAGAAAAGCTTACCCGTAATTGTTTTTCGATGCAACGGACATTAAATCCTTCATTCAACGCGATTTATGGAAAGTCGGTGAGAAGTTTAGCGGATTTTCATTAATTCGTCCGGTGGAAAAATCGTTTAAATTATATGTAAATAGCCGAAAAGATTATTATAGTTGGCTATTGGAGGAAACATGGCCTAAAAGCGTCTGTGATAAAAATATATTAATTTTAAAACCAGCTTTTACTCCAAGTCAGTTTTCATCGGTGTTACGAAACGTCCCACAAACCATATCATAAGAGGTGATCGAACAAGATGTTAAATATTTAATCACAACGGCAATAAATTTCAGAAAGTTGGTGACTAAATATTCCAAGAACTCAGTTGACTATCGTTTTGATGCCAAGTAAACCAAAATCATCTACAAAATTTAAATGAAGCGGTTAGAAAAGCTTTAAAGATGGAAGAGTTCAAGTAACAATTGTGAATAATCGTTCGGTACCTGTTCCAAGATATAGTTTAAATGAATTTCCTCGGTTAAATGGCATAAGACAAGTCCCACGGGCAAACAAGAACAGCAATCAGCAACACGATAATACGAATAAAAAATAGAACAACGACAATGATTAATGGTCGTGAAATTGAGAATAGAAATGTTAAAATCTTCGATGAAATGGAAAAATTGAATGAAAAGAGTGCAGTAATACAAGAATTTATCCCGGCTATTACAACGCTGTTTGAAGCATTAATAACAACAATCGTAACTTCTTTGATAGGTGAATACCAAAATAAACATCAAATTTAAATTATTGAATGATTGTAAACAATACTTAGATTCACTGGCTCAAGCTGTTTTAAGAATTACGAAAGCATTTATGAACTCATATTATCAAGCAACATTTATTGCTACAACAACAACGGGTATGAACATTCATATAACTTGAGCCAATCCGAACACAGTAGCTGCCAACAATCTATCTAAAAATGGGTAATAACTCTAACCCAGAACCTTTGTACCTAGATCATAGGACGCAGAATTTGCACTTGCCACAAACTCACTTGTGCAAGCTGATTCAGGGGAAGAAAATGTATTTGCAACAAATTATACTTTTCCGATATATTCAGAATTTTCCACATTGAGAATTTTATTGCAAATCGAAAAATTTATTACAAAGTGAGAATTTGTGAACTGTGCAAATCGCCAATATTTTTCTCAGAGGAAAATTCGAGAATTTCAGAATTTTCGCCAAGACAGGAATTGTTTTCGAAACTGCGGCACTGCGAGCTATAAGCGTCACGGGAGGAGGAGTGAAGTAGCACGTTAGCCCTCTATAACTTGCTATAACAAAAATAACCTTCAGTTCGATTTTACACGCCAACAACAAATTATTATTACAATAAAATATTTTACAGAAAAACTAATGTACAATGATGAAATAGTAACAGTTAATAATAATATCTAATGGTTGTTGATGATAATGATTGATAATCGGCTTCACTTCAATTGACGAAAGTTGATGAGGAGAAGGAGCGCAGAACGAAATTATAGTAATGCAAATGAACACTAAATTATATTTTATAATTTTAAAAGAATACTAAATATAAACTAAATGTGAGATTTAGTTATAAAATTATAGCCGTAGAATTTCTTCTTCCTTTGTATGATAAAAGAAGAAGAAGACGATTGGAGATGATAATAATGATTTCTCTTCTCTTAAGATGAGAGAAGAAGAAGAAGAAGAAATAGAAGAAGTTTAGAATTTAAGTTTAGAGTTTTTGAGGAAGAAGAAAAACTGATTTTTTTTTAATGAAATCTCGACACGAAGATAATGTGTCTCCACATTTCGTGTCACTATGAAACAAAATAATAATAAAAATCAATTATTATTAACTGATTTCACTCTCTATATATAAAGAGCGCATAGAAGAAGTTTCTGAAACTTTCCAAGCGACAGAAAATAAAATATGTAACGACAAGCGGACGTTACAAGAGAGGGCCACACAGTGGGCAACTAAGCGGACATTAGGCCAAAAAGTCGATTTTATCTATCTTGAAATACAAATAGTGCAAAATGTAGCTCTTGAAATTCTCTATCGAATGGTGTATAAACGTCTATTGTGAAACT